TTCTCACCTCCAACTTCCCAATTCTCAATGTCCAACATTCAACCTCTCACATTCCCGGGTCACCTTTTCCCCTTCCCAATTCCAGCCCATCTCCTCTCAATGCTTGGGTTTACTACTTTACCATTGATAATACATCATTTAGTTATTTTTGTTGCAAGTTTATTCTTTATGGGGTTTCAATGACATGAAAGCTGTTCACTAAAATCTGAATTTCATTCCATTTGTTTTTCAGGCTGGTTTTGCTCTTGGTGTTATTGTTTTGATAGTAATGGCTGGAATTATTTTTTACACCTGCCATTTGATAGTAAAGTGTACACAAGAGAAAGGTACTATATACTTGAGCTTCTTCATCTTTAAAATACCCTAATCTGATAGTTAATTCTTCCTTCTACATGTAAATTAGTGAGGAGAATTTGGTGTAAGATCAAGCTTACCACTTGTACCCGATAATTTTGAGTATTCCCATTACCAGTTTGCTAGATTATGTGTGGCTATTATAAGGAGAAGTAACATGTTAATCACTTCTGGGAGTTAGGTAGTGATATATGTCACTGATTATGCATTTGGTTATTCTGCAGCACTACTCTTTGAATTAGTGGCAAAACTAATTTCATCTGTCTCATTGACAAGTAATGCTGTAAGGTTATACATCAAACTTTATCCCTGTCTTATCTTTGCACATAATTATTGATGATTATTGGAATACTAAATAAATGCATTTATTTTTGATAATGCTAACTTTGTAGTTCAACCATAGTACTTAACTTATAAATTGAAATACCTTTTTTGTCTCTTTAGTGAAGCATGGAGATGTTGTGGAGTTTTCTGATATATGTAGAGAGTGTCTTGGTAAACCTGGAGAGTTCATTGCTGTCTTGTTTTCAGTGGCTCCTCTTGTGTGCGCAGTCAATGTATTTTGGGTTTTAATGAGCAGCTTTCTATTCAATTCTGGAAAATACATCCAAGGTAAGTTTAAAAGTTGACAACATATGATAAATATTTTAAAATGTATGACTTTTGATTAAATTGAAATTTGAATCAAATCTCTTGAGAAGTATAAAAGTGACACTAGCAAACTGTAACAACTGTTCATTCAAATAGTTTTTCTTTCCTCCTATTTAGAAAACATATTTTCAGATGGACCAGCAGTCAACTCTTCAACCACTTTTGAAGGTAACATAAAGTGTATGTTTGCATCCACTGAATGTTATTTTTATCTTCTATTTGTCCAACAGTTTTCCTTTTTGCATAATTGTTCAAGTGTTCATTTTGAAATTTTCTTTTTAATTTTCATCTGCATGCTTTGTCCGTTTACGTGTTAGAAACATTTTTGGTAAAATTATTTCTTTCTGTTCATGTCATTGCCGGTGCACTTTTTTTTTTCTCAGTACTTTGCCTGGATGGTTATAGTGCAGGGTCAACTTCTTCAAATTGTTCAATTGTTCAGGATGGAAATTCATTCTGGCATGTTCAACATACTGTACCATACTTTTTGATTGCCATCTTCCTTCCATTGTGCAGTGCCAAGTCACCAACTTTTTTCACAAAGTTCAATTCTTTAGGTAGGTTATATCTAATTTCTGTGATCAGTGCTGACTTTCTTAGTTTATCTTTTTCTTTATTATATCCTCATTCTGAAGATGAAACAATTTTAATGTAATAGAAAAATCCAAGCCCCATTCTTTTTGGTAAAATCTCTCTCTCTCTTATTTTTAATTTCTTCAAGCTCAGTTGATTTCGAAATTAGGTGACAGGGATTTATAATAGACTTACCAGCTCTTATGTCATAAAATCTGTGTTATATGATACGACAAAGAGACTTTTGCTTTTGAAATTGCAGGCTTTAACCTTCTTAATTTCTATCCCAAAGGAAACAAGAGATGAATATCGGGGTTATAAGTGCAATGGATCACAAACTATGGGGCCACTGTTCAAAACTGACAATTTATGCACACAAAATAATATTCAGATTGTTTACATAGTCTCTCACACACCAAATCTGGAAAATTTCAAAAGTTGCGGGAACATTTTCAGAGGTTGGGTTAGTAAAGGGAAAGAGAAATTTGATGTAATAGAATTAGAAAATTTGGGCATTAGGGAAAGTATCATTTCGACCAATGGAGCAAGATTTGTTTTTAAATATGACCTCAATAAGTGTAAAATATTTGGAATTAAAAACTTGCATCTGGAAGAATGCAGTGATTGTAAAATCAGGTGTTTCATGTTATCTTCATACTCCTCTCTCCACAGGAACCTTGTCAGCTGTCTACATCATCATCTTCACTGTTACCAAAGCCAGCATATGGGGAGTCAACATGGATTTTAACAAGATACCAAGTAAGGTCTTAAACCTAGAGCTGATTTAAAAATATTGAATAACACCTGTAGCAGATGCCAGTACTTGAATTAAAACAAGAAAATTAAAACCACCTAAAATAGGTATATTTTAAAAAGAAGAGTAGATAAATGACCATTTAAGGAATGTTGTTAATATTTAACAATTATTCAGCAAAGGCAAGGTGAATATTGTCGAATAAGCCCCGAGACTTCGTCTCGGGGCTTATTCGACAATATTCACCAAACCTGAGGTGAATAATTGTTTTAGTATAATTTCAGAGCTGAACAACAGAGAAATTTCTAAAATCATAACATTTTAGTAACATTTATTAACATTTTATGTTGACATTTTACATAAACTGCAGGGAGCGGTTTATATAGCGTCATATAAGGAACCGCTCGACCAATCAGATTGCTGGAAACTCTTTGCTCAGCTCTGAAATATATTAAATAAAGATATACTAATCCTAGTCATGTCTGGAACAGTGACGTTAATCCTTAATTAACACCCTAAAATCAGTATGCATATTCCCTATACTGTTTCCTGTGCATTTCCTAAAGTCCTGACAGACAAAAGCTTTATATTCTTACAGTTAATTTATGTTATGGGAGTTTGTGTCTAAGATGGCCAACAGTTCATGACAGAGTTCTAAGTAATGTCTGTCATTATTAGTTGTAGTTTCATGGGATGATTTGTATAGTTTTTACTTACATGTGTCCCATTTTTTCTGTTTTAGTGTTCAAGGCTAGTTTTCCAGCCCTAACAGGAATACTTACCATGGCCTACTTTATTCACAACAGTATTCTGTCAATAATGAGGAACCAGGAGAACCCTAAGAATAATGTTAGTGATCAATATTATTGAAGGGTCACTATCAGGTGTTTATTTAAATAGTTTTTCCCAACTAGAATACAATTTATTAGAATAATAATTGAATATAATACAATAATATTAGAATAGTAATTGAATTCAATACACTACACTCAATAATTCAATAGTGTTGATGACTTCTTTTAAATTGAACCCTTTAACCCCTCAAGGGTGACTAGCTTCTAATCTTTCCTCACAACATCACCACTTAATCACACATTAAGGTTACTAGAATAAAAGAAATGATCACCAATTTAAGAGCTCTTGGTTACTAACCAAATTCTCCTTTGCAACACATTAGAGAGTGTATGGAGAACAGTTTGGAGAAGAACTACCCACTAATGTTGGAGCTACTCTTTCCTCTTCATTTCAGGAACGAGACCTCAGTATAGCTTTCTGTCTTGTAGCATTTACCTATACAACTGTTGGTGTGCTGTTCTTCATTTCTTTTCCTAAAGAAAAAGATTGTATTCAACAGGTAATATTTCCTGCCAAAGTTTGTGCATGACTGCAATTAGGGTTTTGTAGAGTTTATTAAATATATATCTGTTGCAGGTAAAAATTAAATTCAGGTCAAAAAGTTTCAACCTAGATTGAATTTCAATTTCCTTTGTCTCTGAGCCCTAATTATTCACAATTAGGGCTTGGAGACAAAGAGAATTGAAATTCAACCCAGGTTAAAATTTTTTTACCTGAATTTAATTTTAACCTGCAACATACCCCTACAATTGCCTTGTGATATGTACTGAGTGATTGTTTCTAGGAAGTCTAAAATATGATATGTTCTGAGACAGAAGAAACCCATGTAACATAATTTGCTTGGATCTCTTTACCAAAAGGCCTACTCATGCAGGGTATCTTACCAAAATTGGATTAAAAATCTCCCAATTTTTTTTTGTAGTACTGTAGATACTTCATTGCACCTTAATTTATAATTCTATAGTTTCTGATTTTAAGAGGAAGGTGATGGGGCAGAAGGTACTGGGAGAATGGGGAAGAAGGTACTGGGGGAATGGGGCAGAAGGTACCGGGGGAATGGGGGTAATTGGCCATTGAGTACAACTAAAATGCTGAAACTGAGTTTAAGGACAATTTATTAATTTTTAAAATTAACTTAACTCTTTTTTTTTTAGGTTCTTCTTGATAATTTTCCAGCTTCAGATGTTATGACATTTATAGCCAGGCTCTTTCTTCTGTTTCAACTTACCACTGTGTTTCCTCTGGCCATGTATGTCATACGTGTGCAGTTCATGTTGTATTTCTTCAACAAAACCTATCCCAGGTGTGTTGGTTTCTATATCTTCTGCTTTGCATGTGCTCTGGTAAGAGTAAAAAACTTTTTTTAATTTCCAGTACCTTTTTCATACTTATTTTAATAAGCAATATTACAGGTGTTTTACAGGTAACTTTTCTGATAATTATTGTCCACAGCTTTCTTCACGTGTTTATCCTAAACTTTGTTCTGATTGGAACCTGTGTATTATCTGCAGTTGTATATCCACATGTTGGAGACCTTCTCAGGTAACTAATGGATAGAACTAGCTGTCATGTGAACATGTGATATATTATAATAAGAAATTTCCCAAAAGGACCTTTTCATTTTGTTTGATATTATTGCTATTTTATTCCATCTGTAGGTATGCTGGATCATTAAGTGGACTGGCTTATGATTATGCATTACCCTGTATTGCATACATGGTGATACAGAAGCGAAAAGGACAGCTGTCATGGCTGAGTTTTGGATTCCATTCTATCATTGTTTTGCTTGGATTTGCTAACTTAATGGCTCAGTTCTTCACTGCTGCATGAGATTTTACTCAGAAATTAAGTGGATAATGCATGGAGCAGGTGGCGTTCAGGAAGTGGTGACAATAAAACGTCATTTTCCTTGAGTTTAGATTGTCTTTGTAGGAAAAGGTGTTTCACAAATGACCCGTGCAATAAATTTTCAGGCAAGTTATGCTTGGTGAATTTTTGTTGTTGCTACTGAGTGCCAATGACTAGCAACTCATCATTGATAGGGCTCTTATATTTGCACCAAGTTATCATGTTTCAACAAAAACTCACCAGCTTGGGTGTATATATATTGTATGCAGTTTCCATTAATTTTTTATAATTATATTTGAATGACGTGGCCTTTTTTCCTAAAGACAGGGTCTAATTTGTTTGTAAGGCTTCAAGCCAAAACCATTACTTCCTATTAATAATAAGTAAAACTTTGAATTAACAAGGTAAACAAGGAATTTCAGTTTTAGTGTAATGGAATAGTTTGAGAGTTACAATTATTGTAAAATACTTTGAGGTTAAGGTTCAAAAAGGATGTTGTGTTATTTCCAATAATAATTGCAGAGTAAATAGCACTTTACAGGCCTTATAAACATTCATGACAGTTACGTGTACTTGGCTTAATGGCCATTTTTGTTGATTCATTTGTTTTTAAAATGTGTATTAGTTATAAGATATGACTTCCAATGAAGGTTGAGCCTCTACTGCTTCTTCCCTAACCAGGCATATTTTAAAAAAATATTTAGTTAGACTGTTTGGGTAGAGACTGATTGTTTAATTGCAAGCATAAGGAGAGACATCTGTACTGCACTTCTTCTTAGGAAGGGACCATATTTTCTGCGAAATGTATGGTTTAGTTATTGAAGATTATGTCTAAAAAATTGCCCCCTTCAGAGTATTGCCATGTTACTATGGCTTTTCAATACCCTTGTTCTAAAGGCTTCTTTTGTTTCTGTGTATGGGGCAAATGAGTAAGGTAGTAAAAAACAAGGTAAAAACCCTTATAATCAAGATCTTTGTAGTTAAGCTTTATTTTCAGCCTTTTTTAAGTAAAATAATTATGTATATTTATAAATAATTGAATCTTTTGTAATCTCTTTAAAATTCTAGATTCTCCTTTGCCTATTTATCTTGCAATGCCTAAGTCACCTCTTTGGATTAAATCATTATTTTAATTCCTCATTATTCAAATATATAATTATGTTTGATTAAGAATAGGATTTTATGGCTTTGTGGGTCATGAGAGGTTAACTTAATTTTGAAATAATCCTTAATTATTCTAAACTTATTTTGATTTAAACTTACCGGTATATGGAAATTTTAGGAGGATTAATTTCATACGTAATAAATTTTATTGTTCACAGAGAAATAGGAATTAAATCCTTATATGATGGAGGCAAAATCAAGTGAGCTTTATGTTCTTGGCCTAAATTGCAAAATGAATTGGTATAATATTTACATTCAAAAACAAACAAAGCCCTTAATGGAGTAATCAAACATAAAAAATTCACCAAAGTCAATGAAATAGAAAATACATTGACTCAAAGACCTGTTCCAACGAATAAATGAAAACATCCCTTAACTTGGATACTTTGGAAATTGTTCTGTGTTGTATTTCAACTTAAACAAATTACTGATTGGTTCACTAACAAAACTAAAAGGTAAATTAATATTTGGTAAACTGTAATAATACAAACATCTTGTGAAGAGCTTCAACTCAATTTATATAGGTACCTCGCTTACTTTCTCAAAACTTAGCAGGGAAGTACTTGTTGAGAGCCCTAGATTCTTTAATTTTGAGTCAAGCTCATCTTAAAACTATATGTATGTACTTGGTATAGCAACTGTTACAAATCATTCAGTAACCTGATAATAAAGTAAAAGTTAGCAAATAAATGAAAATAATTGTACTTCAAAGCAAATCTTTTAGTTTTCATTTATATATTGTTGGTTGAGTCACTTGGGAAATCTCTGAGCTCTTCATATTCGCCTTCATCATAGATGACTTCTTCTGGCCCTGCTTCCTCGTATTGTTGATACTCAGCGATGAGATCATTCATGTTGGAGTCAGCCTGGCAATTGAAAATGAGTTATTTGTAAACTTTACAAAATAGAAGCACTTAGTGTTTAAAATGAGATATAGTACCTTTTTCTATTTATTTTAAAACCTGGGCCCAAATGTAGACTTGGTCACATCGGGGTGGTACATACCCTTATAACACATCCAAATACCCAACCTGGGAGAAAGACAATGGAGATTGTTGCCCACTTTTTCCTGGGATTTTTTCCTTCATTTTTGGTTATTTTAAGGGGCTGATGATGTGTTGTTAATGTGAATTAGTTATGATACCACACCGTGATATTTTCCACCCCCCACCCCTTCCCTCATTAGATTGAAACTATTGAAAAGTAATGTCTCTACCTTCCATTTGTCACACTGTTGAGGAAAAGAACGATTAAAAATATATGTCGGCTGCTCTTATGACCTGTTGCATGCCAGGAACGCTAAAGAGATCCCTCTCCAAAAAATGCCACCTTTTCAGGTTTACTCTGTGACTCAAATTCATTTTTATCTTAAGTTCAATTGAGAGCATTAAAAATTTCTTATAACTTGTATCTACGCGGCTCATTCTCTATTTTTTGTTCTGTTTTAAGCCATTTATCCTCAGTATGTTTTTCTTCAATGTCGCCTCGTATAACCAATGAGATGGCTCAGCTGATCCATGTAGCAAGCGCGCGCCATGGCGGGAATTTTGTTTCCTTTGTTGCGTAGACTGTTGCGTAGTTTTGTTGCTCAGGGTAACTTATGTTATTCAGGAACAAACACTTCAGCCTAGGAGCTTCGACACCTTGCCTTTTTATAGAAATTTTGTCTCAACGTTAACGGCTCTTCAATCCCTTACTGTGCGTACAATCGACTGAACAATCGTGTTTGTGTAGAAAGTTCAAGAAACTGGAATTTAAGAGCGAAGTCGGGAAGCAATGATCTTCCTAAAAAAGGTTATGGATCATGGGAGAAAGGTCAGTTTATCGATTATTTACGAAGCAGTTATGGTTTAAAAATTCGATTTACTTTGTGACGAAAGTAAGAAAATCCGGAAGGCTTTTACTTGTGTTGGTTTGATGAAACATTTGTCTAGTAACTCGTCTGAATTGCAAGTACGAGTTTCACGCATCCCTGTCGATCTCAACAAAATTTTTCCGTTTGTGTTCTTTTACAAGTAAATAATTCGCCCACGAGTCTAAGCCATTTTTCTTTCAAAGCCTTCGTAGTTAATTTACTCGAAAACAAACAACTTTTGTACGATAACACATTACCAAATGACTCAAAATGAAAAAAAAAACTTCGTGGCTGGTATGACTCGGCGTTTCGTCTCGGCCAAGAAACTCATCAGATAGTTTTTGGAAATTTCGCGCTTAAAGTCTCGTTCGCTAATCTATAGTGTTAGCAATGTGGCGCTCTATCACAGAGGGTTCTACATGCACGTTCATGACTTTCAATTTGTACAGTGAGAAATTGTCAAATACTTTGGCATGAATTGCAGTCTCTTCTAACGCGTTCCAGTGAACTCTCGTTCCGTGTTGGTTTTGTCTTCACACGCGCACGGCTGATAGGGTTTGCTCTAATCCGGTTAAAAGAAGCCTTCACAATAAATATATCAAGACTTTGAATGAAACACCATTAATGGAATTTAGCTCGATATTTTAACGTAACTAAAGCAGTTCTTTGCCCAAAAGCCAGTTCAGTTTGTTTCTTTTCCTGATATTTTTACTGCTTGAATTTCAAACCTATTTATATTTCCATCTTGGATGTAAACACGCCAATGTAAAAGCAGCTTTTTTGGTTTTCGTGCAAGGGATTCCTGGGTTTTGAAGAATCACCCTCCTACTTAGTTGCGATTCTACTAACATTTTGTAAAATGACAATAAACCGCGTTGTGACCAGGTCACGGTGGGAGTAGATTTTATACAATTAAGAGTGATCAGTCGTACAGTAAAATAATGTCGATGGTATCACTAGTTATTTCAAATGTCAAACACGAAATAGGCTCGATCGAAAAAGTGGCTGGTCTTCAAAGAAATTAACAAGGAAACGAAGATAAAAATCACCTCGGTGAACTCCATAATATCCATGCCTTCCGTTGTATACCAATGGAGAAATGCTCTCCTTCTGAACATGGCAGAAAACTGGTCAGTAAATCTTTTGAACGCTTCCTGTATGGCGGTACTGTTATAAAGAAACGTGGCGGAGGTTTTTTGTCCTTTAGGCGGTACATTACATACAGCTGTTTTCATGTTATTCGGAATCCACTCAACAAATGAAGTTGAATATGCGTTTTGCATCGCGGAGATGGTTTCCTCCACCTCCCTCATAGCGAGCTGACCTCTGAACATAGCTGCAGCGGTAAGGTACCTTCCCTGGCGCGGATCACAAGCTACCATCATGTTTTGAGGTCCGAACATGTTACTTGTAAGTTCCGAGATGCCGTATGATCTGTAGCTTTGAGAGCATCGGCTAATGAGTGGTGCGTGAGCGGGTATGAAGAAATGAAGTCTTGGAAATGGAACCATATTTACTGCGAGTTTTCTGAGTTCTGCGTTCAGCTGTGGAGAGCACATTTCCGTAAGTACACCCAAAGTTTTATTTAGTTGTTTCAATATGACAATTGCGAACACAAAGCTTTTACAGTCAAAGCTCTGCTAGTGGCCACCTTCCCATAGGGCCCATTTTATAGCCCCTGGGCACGGTGCGCATAAAAAAAAAAAATGTGTATTTTAAAATAACACATCGACCACGTCTAGTTGTTCACCGACTTATTCGCCTAAAGAAAATAAAATGTCTACAGGATTGAAAGCGAACAGCGAGAGAGCTGAAGTACTTATTTTTCCCTACTCGTTTGGTTTTTTTTTATGATTTTTTAAAATTTGTTTTTACATTTATTTGATTGTTTTCTTTTTCTACTTTGATGCGTTTTAATTTTTCTACTGAAGTTGTAAGAAACAAAAGGCAGTTTTTGGAAAAAGAATGTTCTATGTTTTCAAAAAAGACTGTCATCATTTATGTTCCTTTTTCCCCCCTACGATAGCCTTTCTCTACAAAAAACCACTTTGCAATGTCCTCAAGGTGGCTGTTTGGGAGGGTTTTGACTGCAGTTGTCCCAGCATTGTTATGTAATTTTAGCTTATTGATCCTTACCTGACCAGGAAAACGTAGGGAGGTTGTGACTCCGGCCATGGTCGTAGCCACTAGTTTGTTCAGTTCACTGTAGGTAGGCGTCTTCAGTTTTAAAATGTTTGAACAGATATAATACAAAGCTTCATTATCAATACAAATCGCAGCGTCTGCAATGTCCACAAGATGATGAAAGCTTAGCGTAGCATTATACGGCTCAGTGATTGTCTCGGACACTCTTGGCGAGGGCAGCACACAAAAACTGCTCAGCAGTCTATCCGGATATTCTTCGCGAATTTTTGACATTAAAAGCGACCCAAGGCCAGAGCCTGTCCCTCCTCCTAGAGAATGAGCCACTTGAAAACCTTGCACACAATCACAAAATTCCGCCAGTTTTCGTATGCAGTCCATCCCTGATTCTAGAAGTTCAGAACCTTCCGTGTAAAATCCTTTGGCCCAATTGTTTGCCGCACTGCTCTGACCTGTATTTGGAATTAAATATATAGATTACAGGATGTGTTGAGAATGATACTTGTAATCAATTGATACAACGGGATAGGCAGTTAAACCATGACTGAATGTTTTCTTGGCCAGTTGATTAAAATTTTCTTGATACAAAGTTAAGCAGAGAACACCAGAAAAAAATTTCTCTCTCATGTGTTAATCAATGTTTTTTCAAACGTCACTTGGCTTACTTGAATTCGAACCGATAATGATTTACAGCATTGCTTTTAACCGAAATTGAGCGTTTCCCTTAGCTTCAGTTTCTTTTTAACTCACCACATATGCAGTTGTCAGGGCTGAAGAGTCCTCCGTACTTTGAGGTGCGGAGTGAGTCGATTGAGCCTGGTTCCAAATCCAGGCATGCAGCTCTTGGAATGTACCGGCCATCTGCATACACAAGAGAAAAATAAATTTATCTCACCTGAGAGTAAAAAAGTCCAATAACTTTAGTAAACATTCAATCAGCGGACAACAGGCGAAATACTGAGTACACTCTCACTGACTCAACAGTTATCGTTATGACTTAACGATAACACTCATTTTCTCGATCAATAGTTTGGTGCAAGATCGAACAGCGAGATGTAAATCAGAACATTTACTGATAAGAACAAGACCTTTTGATCTTTGGTCTAGCAACTGCTGCTTGTATCAAGCCGTTGAAAGTACATCCCTTTTTCTCTAATAACATCTTTTCTAGGTGAACGAATCTATGTCAAGGGAGAATAGTTTTCTCATTTTCGGGTGAGATATACTCTGTGCTTACGCACTACTTACCCACTGTTTCGTCAAAATAAACGTTGAGCCTATCCATTTGATTGTGGGTTTTTCCCGTATAATGCCCATCTGGCGAAATCCCATGTTCATCAGAGATAAGTTCCCAAAACTGCATCAAGCAGAGAACAATAGAAATAATATAAATTAAATCACATGCAGACTGATAGATAACGGTGTGTTTGAGCCTGGTTTACCCTTAAAGATCACATTTGTTGTGGTTTCTGTTTTGCATCATACTTGTCGTAGGATGTGTACATTATTGGTCACTAATCAATATCGAGAGATAGAGTTCTTCATTTCTGTCATTTATATACCATGCCTGTTTTTCGTTGACAGCGACGTAATAATTTTCATTTTGTATTTTCCTTTTTTACGGAGAAGTATGTTTGTTATTAATGAAGAAAAGAGATAACTGTTGCAAGAAATGTTTTAAAAAGCTAGGACACCGTTCCATGAATTAGGAATGTTGGGTGAGAGTTTTTGTAGCGTTTTCTTCATGAAACATATTAGAAAATGAGAAGCGTGAGACAAAGTTTTCTGTTGATAGGGCAGTTGGAGGAAAAACGTCCTCTCACAGGTGAATCGACAACAGCCTACAGTCCTGCAGGTGGCCTCGTCTTAAATCGTGATAAAGTCAAAAAATTAATTTCCTCGTGCAGGAATAAATCTATGAAAGGTGCGATTCTTCTGGACCATTGCGATCCCCCTGGTTGATGTATTTGTTCCTGTGTATAAGAGTTTGTCATTCTCTGTTGCAGTTTTAGTTTAGGCAGATCTTTTCTTCAAAGTAGAACAATGGCGGGGGATTTAACCACTGCTGGTAAATTAGAGACCTGCTTTTCTTTCGGCAGGTGGTCTAAAGAAATTTCTCCTTGGTATCGCAGCTTAAGTCTCTTTGCGTCCAACTTTAAAAAAAATTGCACGTTTAGGAAGCTAAGTATATCCTCTTTTGTACATGATAGCAAACGGTAAACACTGTCATCTCTTTTACCGAACAGTTTAAATTTACTGAACAATTTGAATTAACCTAACAGTTTAAATTTGTTTCAGGCTCCGCGAACCCTTCTGCGACGGTAATTTGCATTTAATTGATAAACTATAATTTCAATGAACCACGCTGACTTTAAACTTGTTATATTGAAACAGTGAAGGAAATCCATAGATGGGCTATTAAGCCGGCAGATTTTAAGACTAGTGTTTCGTCAAACGTCAAAAGGTTTTCCTGTGTAAATCAATAGAGAGCCCTTTACTTGAGCTAATGGCATCCAATGTGAAATCTGTTTTATTATCAAACGGACCGTGCACTTAAGAAAAGTCTTGCAAATTGTACGTCTAACTGGAGAAATACCTTACATCTAGTTTACAAATGAGATTGGTATTTTGTGGAGACAATACTAAATAGCATAAAACGAGAAAAATTTGTGATCTTTTTCCTTTAAATTTAAATGGTATTTTGAATTTTTACCTATATTTTTTTGTTCAAGGTGTTTGGCGGAAAATCGTCGATTTGCTCGCAGCTAAGAAATTATTTTGTATCAGTTAAAAAACAATTTTGCAGAGTAGACTTAGGCAGTTCTAATCCTGTATTTGACATTTAACGTCTTCTTTTTTTGGGAGCTTTTTTCAACAACTTCCACCAAAACGAGAAAGATTTTTGCATTCCACCATTGAAACCTTTAGATGCGACAACCTTTCATCTGCTTAACTGATAAAAGCTTCGACAAATACATGTTAAAATACCTTAGAGCTGATCTGATTCCCGCACTGTCCAACTTGAATATGCACTATGTCTCTCATGATAGGTGCTTGCTATTGTTGGATTGATCACCTTGCCTCTGTCGATGATTATAAAACAAGGTTTTAACAATATATAATGTCCCACGCGGAAGTAAATTTAGTTTGAGTGGACTTGTTTGCTTTGGTTCCTTTCGAGAGACATGTCTCATTAAATATTATTACTTAAGTTAGAGATATTTTTCACCTTTTTACTGCCACTTGACTCAGATTTTATATGGACACCTGGAAACTTACAAATTTCTATCCCAACCAATAGAATGAACGACTTAGTAGTGGGGTTACGTTGTGTTAGATACTTTTAAACTTGACTGTTAGCCTCTATCCTGAATTCAAAAGGAGTTCTAACCTGGACTGGTAAAATTTTCATATGAAAGTATTTAAAGCTAGGAACACTTTCCAAATCTGTAAAAAGGAAAAGGTCTTACCTTGTAAACTTGTTCCTAATTGATGAACACCAAAGACCATGGTAAAGGCAATTAAGTCTATTCTACAGGATCAATTAACAGTGCGAGAAATTGAAACGGCCATTAGGACATATTTGAAATGGGCTACATTCTATCGATTGTTTGCTTGGATGAATAATTGATGATGGCCATGATTGCTCTCTATTGGGGGGTGGTCCATTCATGGTGTCTATCCCGACGAAAGTAACAAATTGTCAGGCTAATGGCTTCTTCAGGAGCTGTCGCCTTCCTATTGGTTAAGAGTCAGATAACATGGGTTTAACAAAGGACTTTGTGGCCGCTTACGAGTCGGTTTAAATTGAAACATTCAAAGACTCTTCACCCGTGGAGAGAAATTGTGAATATTTTGAGTGTTTTCATCGCCGCTTGGTTAATAAAGTTTGTAGGTATATTTTTCACGCTCATCAACCCTCACGCAATGGAGATACTGCGTCCAAGGTCAATCCAAAACAATCGGACAATTTTTTTATTCATCGACCACTTTCTTTATTGTTGTTTCCAGGGTTTACTTTTTTTCCACCTTTGAGAATCGCAATAGTTATCCAAATTTGAAGACTCCTGTCGGTGTTTATTTTTTCTGATTGAGATTTCTTTTGAACGGACTGGTCGAATAGAGAGTGGGACTGGGCATACGTACAATCCTTGTGGTCTTCAACTGCAAATGAATGGAACTAAATTGTCTTGGTCCGAGAAAAGCTATACGATTAACAAATTAGTGCTAGTTAGAAATCTAACCTCGGCCAGGTGTACGGAGATGGTCATACCTGGGTTTAGTTTTATTATTAAATTCGACCGTAATTTTGACAGGAATTACAAGCTTTTGATGTTTTACTCGTAAACCCATCGAGGAAACGTAAATGCAGCCGACAGAGTAAAAGGAGAACAGGTGATGTCTTAAAGTTATGATCTACCTACTTAAATCGAGGAGTCACCTTCGCGTTTCATTACAGAAATTAACTTTTAAAATACTGCTCCTTGTCCAATTACATTCCACTGCGCCTGTGCGCTAAACGATCTTATCTTCAAAGCACACGGGATTACAGAGAAAGTAGAACAGACAATGGAATCAATCAGCATCCTGCCGCATGTGACTACCACAGAACCAAGATGCAACTGAAATAAAGTATCATGAGGAATCACACATAATTCTTTGGCGACATCTCGTTAAGCAGGCTTATTTAACGGTTCAATGCAAAGACACCCAGGGAGAGAAATAAAACGGGACCCAAATCAACTCAGCAGTGTGCTTAAAGCAGGTGGTAGTGGTATTAGTTTCGGGTAAAAAAAGCAAGGCCCTGGGAACCATTGAAAGTTTTTTGTGGGCCAAAATCAGTCCAGTATAAGGTGTGTTGATGTCGAATAGAGAAGCGCATGTAATTATTCTCCTCTTAAAATTGGTTTTCTGCTCAGGTCGAAGATGTTCTTCTACGTTCAAGCCACGTGTGTTTCCTCTTTCCACATCTAAAACGCCAGTGCTACCTTGCCAGGTCTGATTATAATCAAACGATGATATTTCAAAAACGGACATTTGACCAGCTCAATCAATCAATATCAATCAATACTTTATTCATCCACGTAGCTTCAAGGAGCTCGTAGAGCTCGTTCAAAATACGTACGTGCCTCTAAGATTAAGAATCTAAAAAAACCTAATACATACAACTCATTTAGATATATTTCCTAAAAGAGCAGTTCTCAGGCAAGGAAGCCTGGCAAATTGATGTTACATACGTGAAATACTTTACTACAATATTAATCAGCGGAAATCATACCGTCCTGAATAACAAGTCTTGTTCTTGGATAAGCTTGTTCTTGAACAGCGAAAAAGGAAAATAGTTGATAAATAGATCTGTGTGATGAACTTGTAATCCGGTGTCCCGTGTTGAAATCCTCCACCCTGCCACTCACTGGATTTGCTCTCGGTTGCCCCTGGTTCAACTCTTCGGCTGCGCTCTGTGAATAGCCCACTGATCTGCCTCCTGCCAGTGGGGATTTTCAAGCACTTAGTTAAACTACATTGTGGCTGAAAAGCCCCTATGGGGAAGCCTCAATTAACCTATATTATTATTATTATTATTATTATTATTATAGATCTGACACTACGAGAACTGTCGAGATCGTCAACTCAAAATATCTCTTGAACTGATCGTAGCAATTTTAAAACTTCGACAGTTTTCATTCCGTTTGTTAGTCCCCTGATTCGCTAGTGTTCGCGTAACTTTAACGCGCGTGATTGAATTTGAAAAATTTATCCAATCTTTGCTTTGGAAGACACTGAGAAAACTCAAAAGAATGTTTCATTCTAATTTACAGTAGGTTTTCGAGGCGCGGCACTAAATTGAAATGATAGATTACACGTCCTTGTTTGCTTAAAAACCCCTTTTGGTAGTTCTATTGACTATGGTGATTCTTTTCGTTTCTTTTTTTTTTTTTTTGCAAGCTACAGCTGCAATCAACAATTTTTTTTATTTTTCAAAAACGTTAACATTGTCTATTTTAATTTCCTTACCAAGGAAACAACCCTCTTAAAACAATGCCAATCTAAGCTAATACGACAAGAAAAGAAAGCGACAGGCTGTTTATTCTCCTTTTACATTAAATTCAGAAGTTTCCCCTGTTTAATTATACAGAAGAGTCTCGCCTACCATGAGGATCTATGCAAACCCACAGTTCTTAACAGAGATGGTTGGAATTAATTTTGTAGCACGACCAACATTGTGCAATGCTGTCATAGGACCTCTGATATATACTACCATTTTGTAACGTAACCATTGAAAAGCAATTCAAAACGGACGATGTCGACAAAAAGAAAATTGGTAAACTTCAATCCGGAAAACAACGAGCAACCCCAAAGAAGTAATTTTCCACTACGTGACCGACAATATTATACCGTGACATTACTCTCACACCATGGCTGGACGTATTTTCGACAGTGCTTTTTAAGCTTCGTGATGTAAGAGATGATTATGATGCGACAGGTGCTGGTAAGATGTACATTTAGCTGTCACTTTGTGATCGATTTGTCGAAATCTGTTGAAAATGATTTAGTCATCCAGCAACATCAATTTTATGATTGGCATGTAACTTACTATTATAAGGAAAATCTTTAACTGGTTGCTGAAATAATTTCATCGTGGATGTAAAAATTCTACTAAACACTACCAGGACTACCAGGTTGCGTTTCAAATGCAAATTCCTCCTCAGTAAAAATGGAATAAAAATAAGTTATAGCTTTCATTGCCAAAATCTAAATTGAAACTTAAAGAGAGTCTATCGCGGCTATTTGTTGAACTTCCATATTTAACTACTGCACGCTGTGGACTTTGGCGTATTCTGCAAACAATACGCTTTTATTTAGATGAGACCCGTCCCCCAATCGTTTCTGGAAAATTTCAAAGGATGACATTGATATCCTTAAGATATAAGGGCTCTCAATCTTTCATTTTCTCTAGAATGGGTTTCTTTGTGAGAAGAAAACACTATTCTTTTATCGATGTGGATAGCTACAGTTAGTCAGAAAAAACTAAAATTTAAACCCGTGTAAACGGGTTTAAATACGAACCAACATGATGACCAGCTCCCAGCTCAGTTGGTTACAGATCCTGTACGGGCCTAAAATTTTTTTCAAGCCTCATTTCCACTACTACTTAAGTAGGGTTTTTTTACTGCGAAGATCGCTTTCATACAAAACATTGTTAAGCTTCAAAAACTTAGTGGTTTAATATACGAGAAAGGCGTTACGTACGTGACACACTAAAGCCACACGTTTTTTTTCTCAATGCAATGATAGGTTGCACGATTTTTTTTCTTTGAGAAAAATGTTAAATTTCAACGAATTTTTAACAGGCTTATGAGTGAATTTAAATAATTTTATAACCTATTTTTGCTGATCTCGTTGGCAAAATAACAGAATTTAAAGTATGTGAAGCAGCTCCTTGGTCAATATAATTTGTAGGTTTTTCACTGGTTTAATGGATTTTAATTTTAAAATCAGCTAGTTACCGGAAATTGAGTAGATTTGATTTATTACTTTTTATCCTTCGGAAAAGAAGTTATTAGTAAGAGGAATCTTATTTATTAAATTCAACAAAGTACCATACTAAAATTGTTGTGAATATATCAAATTTCTTCCAATATGATTATATGATATAAAGAGCTGATATTTCTATTGTCAACCGCTCACGTTTGAAACAACACTGCTGTCCAAGGTCAACTCAGGTTGCTAATGCAAGGCTGGAACAATGTTTGCCAGCACGTTCTTTAAATCAAGACTTAGAATTTCTTCGCGCCACCTGATGGATGAAAGTGTTATATGGGATAACCTCCCAAACAACAATCATAGCATAATTTGAGCTCCAAGAAATCAAATGTTAGTTCTATAGAGAACCTTTTGAGCAATTAGACAAATTTCCTTTCTCAGTTAAGACCTCGCATACCTTCTTTTAATTTTTTTTATCAGTGACGGGAGATATATGTTATTTAGTACTTAAATGCTAATTATTATGTTTTTTTTTCCTTGCAGAAAGAAATGCACATGGTTTTCAGTGGAAATTTAAGTCAAAGGTTGTTTTTTGCGACCGTTGCAATCATCTCTTTCACTGGAAATGTCTTCTTTATTGCGATTATCATACGCAATAGAAAACTACTGAGAAAAGCTTATCACAAAATAATACTGAGCTTGGCTATCACCGATATGATGACAGGTTAGTCCACTGTTGGAATTTTGAACATTCGACTTACCATCATTCAAAAGTTATCAGATTTATCATTAACTATTGCAAAGATAAGCATACGAAATTATCTCTATCCATTGGTTAGCTCAATGGATAGAGCGCTGGACTGTTGTGCGGGAGGTCGAGAGTTCCGAGCCCCGGCCGGACCAACACTCAGGGTCTTAAAATAATTGAGAAGAATTTGCTGCCTTTCTATAACATCAAGAAATGGTTAGATTTTCTAGTCTTCTCGGATAGGGACGAATGAATGGAGGTCCCGTCTCCTGTAGGGTTGGGGTAGGAGACGTTAATTTCCCACACACGAGATTACTGTGTGATGAATGTCCTCCCCAGTAGTATAGAAATGGAGGTACCTAGGACAAAAATGTTGTCTCTATTTTTATTTATTGACTTTTAATGCTATCAATTTTGCTAGGACAAAAAATTTATCTTGTTTTTAATTTATTCAATTATAATGCTATCAATTTTGCTAGGAAAAAAATTTTATCTGATTTTTGTTAATTCCTTGAAGAGTTTTTTTTTTTTTCAAATTCACCAATTGATAAGGAGAGCAGATAATCTCAATAATAGAATACAGAATCCTTTTTTTATTTTATACTTATTTGGTAAATTATTTGAATTTTTTCCTGGGTAAGGCAAGACATTGCTATCATATGAAGAAAATTTGATTCTTATCTCTAAAACAAATGAATTGTATCAGAGACAAGATAGACAGACTCACAAAGGATATAAGTGACTTATCATTACAAGAAAACTCTTTAAGATTAAATACAGAACATCTGGAGACTGTAGAAAGGCTATTGAACGATAGAGAAGCGATGCTGGAGTTCCACTTATTAGAAAGAGGTGTAAATCCATATACCAATAGAAAGATATCAATCGGTGGTCCAACATACAACATGATAAACAGATTCAAAGGTTACGAAAGTTACTTAATAGTTGCTTCTTCTCCTCTTGTAAAAGAAATTTTGGAAGAGTATGTTACGAGGATCGAATTATTTTTACTGAATCTGTCACGCAATCCCAGACTTTTCTAGAATTATCTATAATCTGTAATATTCCAGAAACTTCTTTCATGTGACGCAGCAGTTTCCAAAAATAGTACAACTTGTAATGCGCTATAAATAGTAATGGAACGTTCTAGATAACTAAAGTAAAGGTATAAAAGCTGGCATGTGAGAAGTACATAGGAGATTTGCCCGAGGGCTTACCCTCGTGGCTTGCTGACTGAGCTTGTGGAAGCTATGATATGACAAGGCTATGACCTTTTGACCTTGCGATACCCAGAGAGAAGAAAGAGATGAAAAAGACGATAGTCGAGAGAGGAAGAAGATAGAGAATACAGAGTTTACTATGGAGTCCTCCGGAAGAGTTTGTGTACAGGGAAAGAATGCGATAAATCAAGAAAGCCAAGCGCCGTGGTCTTCAGTCGGCGGATGTTGGAATTGGAAGTTGATCAAAACGACGAAGACTTACACGGCATGAAGGATTGTAAGCCTGCTTTATGAACTGCTGAACTTAATCTTTAACCTAAGTAAATTAGACATTGTAAAACTAATTAAATAATAGTTAAAATGGGTAACTGCTTGTTGTTACATTTTTGTTGCGTGCCATATATCGTACTCGGGAGTCTATTTTTATGTATGCTTTGTTAGCGGACATTTGTTGGTCATTCGTGCACGTAACAAGTATAATAAGCGAAGGAAGATAAAACTAAAAGAGAGAAGAAAAGAAGAAAGAATTGACATATCTTCAATTGTTAGCTGATGAGATTATAAAATATGATAAATTTTTGGAAGAAAAAATGAAACATATCTTTTTATCCTGATAAAAATAGATAGCATTAATTCAAAAAATTAAAAACCAGATAAAATTTCTGTCCTAGCAAAATTGATAGCAATAAAAATCAATTAAAAAAAAAAACAAGACAAAATTTTTGTCCTATGATACCTCCATTTACTCTCCCCTGGGGTGGGATGAGTGGGTTTATTGGGCCCGCAGTAATTGGCGCAAGTTGTTGCAGTGTCCCTGCCGGTTGGCGAAGCTAAATAAATCTAAATCTAAAGAGGTGGTGATGATTTTTCTCTTATTTTTAGGAATTTTTCTTGTCTTAACACCAGAATATATAATTGGTCAAAAACCAGCTTTGTCAAGGAAGAATGTTGGCTCTGCGATGTTTTGCTACGTCATAGGAAATCAATATCTTGTATTTACTTTCGGAATCGTTTCCTTGTATACGGTTACGTTACTCGCAGTGGAGCGCTGGTTTGCTGTATTTCGACCCTTCGAACATCGAACAACTTTTAGAATTCACAAAGTACAACAGTATCTGATTATTATTTGGATTGCTTCCTTTGCTGCTAACAGCACTCACATCATAGAGACCAAGTATTTTCTTGACAATGTCAATATAACTGAACGCTGCGTGTTCCAAGGAGTAGCCAGCAGAGAGGTTAGAGTTATCATAGGAGTTGCAGAGATTTTTTTAAAATTTCTAATACCAGTTTTAGTCTTGCTGGTGTCTTTCATTCACCTTTATCGTTTCATGAAAGATTCACATGTTACAGCAATAACTCGTCCAAGCAATTACATTGCTCTTACACGAGTCACACTCATGGCTGCCGTAACATCGTTAGTGATGGTGCTGTGTTGGTTCCCCAATCAACTTGTTTACTTACTATTCAAGCTTGAAGTTGTGCAACTGAATACCCCATTGCACAAAGCAACAGTTATTGTTTGCATGTTCAACTCATGTTTGAACCCTTGCATATTTCTGTTAAGTAACAAATTATACAGAAAAAAGGCAAAAGAACTACTTCCCAGGTGCAGAGGATCTGTAAAGGACTTCGACTTATCATCGACAGAATCAAAGAAGGTGGTTCAGTCTGTTGTATCCCTCAAGTTTCTCAGGGGAAATTTCCTGTAAGAGTAGAACATGGAGATATTTGATACTTTGTTAGGCGTAAACATTCGTAGACCGATAGGATTCCTTGCGTTACAGCGTTGAAGCCTTTGCGGCATAGAGGGCTATAAACCTAGAGACTCGCTATTAACTTTTATACATTGAATGACGATGCGTGTCCTTCTCACGGATTATGACGGAAACTACAAACAAAAGTGTAAACGCGTAATGAGCTTTATCAGTAATATGATATACATAAAATTTCAGCAGCCTGGCACTTAAAAAATTAAAAATCATCATTTAAAGATGGTCTTACTGTAAGCGTTTAGACTTCCATTTTGATCTTTAGCTGTCGTTGGAGATTCAGTCTTGACAAAAAATATGAGCAATAGCCTGTTAGATCATTAGAACCTAAATGTGTACATTTGTAACTGTGCATACAAAATCAAAATTGTTGTTCTTAGGGCCGTAGTTGAAAATAACAAATCTTTATGTGGATTTAAGTTGTAAATTTTCGTTTCTTAAGAATTACGTCAATCAAAAGGATAAAATAAAACTTGCCATTATCCTTCAATTTCTTATATGTCTTTTGTTTTGGGAGTTACCAAACCAAAAGTTAAATTATGTTTAATTCGATGCGTTAAGAATGGCTAATGTGCCTACCGTAATTCCTCTATTAAGCCCCCCCTCTGATAAGGCACCCCCTCTAACAAGCTCCCTCTCTTTAGAGGAAGAAATTTATTAAGCCCCCCCTCTAATGAGCCCCCCACCCCTCATCCTCAAAAAAAAGAAAAATTAAAATTAACACTCCTAGTCAGTAAGTACGATAAATTTATTCAAGTACTGTGATTTTAGTTTGTCATTTAATATTGATTATGGTCATTGATTGATTAATGTTATCATGTTTGCATCAATAGAATACGGTACACGGAAATTACAGAGTTATGCTAAAAATATAACATGGCTAAACAAGGTCCATCGAGAGAGTTAGGTAATAAAATTGAGTTCTATTTGTCGGCTGCTTGACTTCCAGCTTCATGTGCTGAAGTTTAACTTTATTGACTCTGCCAATTTGGTAAATGAAAAAATGTAAAGTGAACAATTTTTGAAAATTTTTGAATAAATACGGCACAGCATATCCTATTATTTCCTGGTGGTGAAAATCGGGCTAAATTAATAAGCTCTTCCCTCTAATAAGCCACCCCCACAGAGTACCCGAAATAAAGAAGCCCCCAGGGTGTTTATTAGAGGATTTACGGTAATTGGTCTCACCTTACCACTCAAGCAAACCCATTACCCTAACTGAACAACGAAGAATTGAAAAATAACCTCAGACTTAGTAGTGAGGGGTGGTCGGGGGCCTTCTTCACTGAAGGGTGTGCATTGTTTATAAAAACTTGGGACTATAACTTTTTTTGTCCGAGTAACATGTTATTTGCACATAGGGAATAGTCAGTTCTTGTAAATTAGAGCTTTCAGTTGCATGCATATACATGGAAATTCAAATGTATGCTTAACTTTTATGATTGTTAGTGATATCGGAACACGTTGCAGTCAAAGATCAGGAATCGACAACGACTTACTATTCTAGAGCGTCTATAATCATGTTGCTATTCACGACTACTTCACTAGCAATCGCGATCGAAGCGATTTTTCGAAATTGATTTGCATTTTAAAAGATATGTTTTTTTAATGCTATGCTTTTTTATATTTATTGATGCTGTTTGCAAATTGAAACCAGAGACTTCATCTTCGATCGACTTATCCTCGAAAGATCCCGAGAAGAAAATTAAATTAACCAGATGTTATCTGGTGATTTTATCAGCAAAAACTAACTAACACCAGACTTCCATTTGGTTATCTTTCTAGTTTCTAATAAATCGCCTTTATTTGGAGTTAGATGACACTGCTGCGACAGGAAAAGGCTTTGCGGATCCGTGGAGACGGCTGAAACTGAAATGTGAATTAAGAATCCCGCCTAACATTCAATGAAGTTAAATGTTAAGCTCAGATTTTTGTATTTGATGTTGGTCCTTTCCTTACTGAGCTAGAATAATTGATGTTTGAAGTTACATCACTTTAACTTGCTATGATGTCGACTTCCTAATTAGAGGAAAGAGATGCGCCGACTAGTCAGGATGGGCATCATTACGAATTAGTTTTTTTCTAACCACGCTGTGAAAGGGAGAGAGATACGCCGCGCGCGATCTTTGCTTTTCTCATTATTATTATTATTTCACTGCTGATTATGTGTTTCTTTTGAATCTATTTGTTGGCCAAAATGGAGAAATGATGGAACTTCAGGATTTTGGATAGGACACTTTCATTTTTTGTGGGGGGTTCGACCCTATGTGTCACCGTTGATTTATTCCAACAATAAGGTGGCTTGACTGGTGATTGATTTGGATGTTTTTGACATCGATACTTGTCTACAATGCTTCCCTCAACTCAACCAAGCTCCACTTTGCATTTTTATGTCTATCATATATAGTTGAAGCAGGTACTGGTCTACAAGAACACCAAGAATACGCTCCTGAAGGAAATGAGTGTTAGGGAGTAAAACAGTGAAAATGTATTCACACACTCTCGAGAGGTTGAAAATTTTTCACTAGTGAGCTTTGTTGATTTTGAATGGGTTGAATTTAAATGCTCAATTCTAAATACAAGTGAAAAAACTGACAGGTGTCATCAATGAGTGAAGTGCAAACAGACAGAATTTCAGCTTTAGTTTTCTTCATACCTAGTTCCAAGCTACATTTATGCCATGGTTCTTGGTGGTAACGAAATGAAGTGAGAAGCAAAACGAAACAGGGTGTCCAATCGCGGTCTAGTTTAAATGTCTTTCGATGTATGTAAGCAACATGGCCCAGATGCTAGGCCGCTGGACTCACACTCAAGATCTCTTGAGTTCGAGTTGAAGGTCAGTCACGCTTGCGAACAGCCACTGATCTGTCAACTGTCACAAGCAATTTAACGATGGTTGTTCCATTTGAATCATTTTGTTTTGATGATTTACCGGCGCCACTAGCCTTTATAATAAATAGATCGATAATCTTTACACAATTTCTTTCGACTTAAAGGCGACAGATTTTTTACTCATAATAGCCTTTTCGTTTGTTTTTAAAATTAACATAAGGGAATTTCCCAGGAAATCATTTACTACAACATTATTAGGAAAATATCAATAAAGAAAAAACGAGAGATCGCTCTTGGTATTGCCCTATGCAGTGCTGACGGTATATACGTAATTTCTTTCGTCACTTTATCTACCGGCAAAAAACTCAAAACCTTTATGAGAAAGTATTATCAATACGGGAAAGCGTCATAAATGTTTCAGACTGAAATAGGGTGTGGATAATTAACCTTAAGAAGAAATGGTGAACAAGGTAACTTATGACGTGATCAGATATCATTTCACGTCATTCGGAAACATAACTCACCTGCCAGCATATCCTGGTTACCATTGTTGCCGAAGCATAACGCTTGAATTGGATCAAGCCAAGTCTAAGAAAATATCGCTCACTAGCCTTGACGGTAGCATATTTTGTGAATGTATTCGTTTTCTAATCTCATTGGCGAAAATGATTGTAGGTACAAGAGTTTTGTTTGGTATCATAGGATCACTCGCCATCATAAACAACAGCCTTCTATTGGTGGTAATATTTCGAAACAGAACACTGCTGAAGACTCCATACAACAGACTAGTTTCGAGCTTGGCCATTATTGATTTAATAACAGGTAAAACACCCCAATTCCACGTATCATTCTATTGAAACGGAAAATTGTTGTTTCTAAATAACTTTCTAAGGAAGATCGAAAAGAGCTAAACAACAGCTTGCTCTGCATCATAAGTGGGAAGCATCATGTTCAGATTATTTTCTTTTTAATTTTAAATCGCCACGTCGTAGAACGCGCACATTTTGCTTTTTACGTCTCTCCTTGATACTTGTGCACCTCTCATATCTGTCTTTGTCCCCAGATGATGATAGCTTTCTCTTTCCCATGTGTTTATTTGCGTGGGGCCCTTCAGTGGTATTAAAATAAATAGTATTCCAGCTGAACGAATGATTGGATAGTTTCCGAAAAGTAACCGTGCCAAATGTGGCATTTTCACATTTGGTGCTAGATGTGTAACTTTTTTCAGTTTGAATTCCAAAATAATTTTTAACCTGAAATTCTAGAAATAATGTTTTTTTATGAATAAGTAGGTGAGACATTTCTACTGATTGACAGGTGCCACTCTATGGTAAAGTTGCTTTTAATTTTAGAATTGCTTCTCGTAAGTTGTTTGTTTTTCAAGTCAGTTCTACTAAAACTCTCATCGGAAACTCCAGTTTAAAACGAAAGGGTTTTTTCTATTAAAGGAGAAATTTACTGTAAAAAAAGGCTCAGTAAGTTTTCATTACCGTAAATTCGATGGGCGCTAAACTCTACAAACAGTTCCTCATTTAAAGATTTCAAGTTAAGTAAACCTCCATTTAAAGCAGTTTTTACTTATGACAATCACACATTCGTCTAATTTTGACAGTTGGACTCAAATACACCTCCCAATATTCAATGATTTCCTTTCAACCTCACATCACCTGGCTTTTTATCAACATAAACAACTGCAAATTTCTTTAATATATATGGTAATTAAGTAAAAAAGTGTAAATCTTGTAAGAAAGCATCTTTGTAAATAGAGATATGATAAATATGTCTATTTCTATTTTTAAGGAATTGGTATTTTTGTTACTCCTTCGTACATTATTCGGACTGATTCCATCACAGCTCCATCAGGAAATTTTGGCCAGATTTTCTGCAGAGTAATCTACTCTCAGTACCTCGTGTTTACCATGGGTATAGTATCAGTCTATACAGTTGCATGTATGGCTATGGACCGATGGCTTGCTGTAGCTCGCCCAACCAAGTACAAAACAATTTTAACGAAGCCGCGAGTAAACATTTGTGTGTTGTGCATATGGATGCTCTCTGTGCTTTTAAACACTCCTCACTTGATGGAAATGACAGTCACAACCGGTTCAGACAGTAAAGAGCAGTGTTCATGGATTGTTCTTACCGAAGGCACTACTAGAAGAGTTGTGGCTATTTTAGAATTTGTAGGAAAGTTTTTTCTTCCCCTTCTTGCCGCAGCCGTTACCATGGTAAGTATCTACAACCATATCAAGTCGTCACCGGCTCTATTTCAAACAAATAGAGGCAAGGCTGGTTTAAGGTTACTGCGGATGTGTATGTTAACAGCGGTCATTCTTGGAGTGTGCTGGTTTCCCAACCAATTATATTATCTGTTGTTCAAATATGACATAACTCAGCTGGACACGCCCTTGCATCATTTTACTGTTGTGATGTGTATGTTCAACTCGTGTGTCAACCCTCTGATCTATTGTATTAGCAACAGGATGTACCGAAGGTACTTTTCGCTTCTTTTGTGTCCATGGCACAGGGCAAGGGTCACAGAGATGGAAATGACTGCGAGCGATCGTGTCAGCGGGGTTAATGGATTTAGACCAACCCAAACCATTGAACCGCTGCAGCATGCGTAACAAACATGACAAGTGCTTAACGATATTTCTGAAACGCATACATAACTGTGGAAGAAAGAATTGATAAACTAAGCCAGCTTTAGACTTGTCCTCTTTGAATTGGTTTAGGTAATTTCTTTTTCAAGAAGTAGGACTTTCTGGTTTACCCTTTTGTTAGGTAACCAGGAAAGCTAGCGTATCCGCCATAAAAGAAAAACGCTATAATTATATTTTCAAAGTAAGCTGGTTCAAAGTATCTGCTGGGGCTATTATCTTTTTTTCTTGTGCAAGACACTCTCCTCTAACAGTGCTATGAAAGAGGCGAGTTGTTAGAGACACGGGTCCCTATCTACTGTTAAAATAATTTTGCACTTGTCTTGGAATAATGCCATTTCCAATAATTTTCCTTTTCTCCTAATTTTTGCCACAAGGTGTCACTGTATCATTCAGTTTGTCGACATGGTTTTTTTATGCTATATGGTTGCAGATGTACATGTTCAATCCACTGTGGGTAATTCTGATAAAGCGAAAAGCAAGATAAAATAAGTAAGAACCCGCCAATGGTTAACTCCGTTAAAAATGTTTTATTCACTTTACCAATGCAGTCAACATTAAGCCATTTACAACTAATAGTAATTTCCCGTTCGAACCAGTTAAACCATTAATGATGTTATGGCGGTAGAGGCTGTCCTGTCCGTTCAAACTCCTTTTTAAGTTCCACCCATTGCTCGGTTGACATCATGATGTCACCTTCAAATGCATCAACTCCGTTTCCTGCGAGCAATTGTAATTACCGTATAAATAATTTCCAAACGCTAAAACAGATCTTAGATTAGTGATGGCACCATGAAAGCTTAAGACAGGTTTAATTTAGTTAATTATCCATAATCAAAAATTCCTTTGTACCAAACTATGAGCTTGACGCGATTTCCAGTCCGATAATCTATTTCGACATGCCGTTCTCTTTTTACGCTTGTAAGCTATAGCAAACTTACAGTAACCATCGTGTCCCACATAGAACTTGTAATTTTCGTCTACTCAATCAATTCTTTTCGAAAGCAAGCTAACTGGAATATTATTTTCTTCTCCTTAACTCATTCTACGTTAGAACTGTAGACCTGATGTGATAACCTTACGTTGATTCACTTCGATTTCAGTATTGTCATCATCAACTTGCTGATCTCCTTCTTTGAGGGGATGTCCCTGTTCATTCAGCCCATCTTATAGCCCAAAAAGATATTTACATTAGATAACAATAAAAATCAACACACAAATACACAGACTTTGTTATTAGCAGATCAACGAGAGTAAGTTAAAATTGTTGTAAAGCTCAATAGGGGACGTGAATCATTCCCAGTCGCTAAAATTCATGACATAGAGACTCAGTGATTACTTAGAAATAATAAATAAATAAAACATGGAAATCTCACACGCCAAGATTTATCCACAAGTTAAAGGTGCATATTGTGGGGAAATAATATTGTAAGACGTTCAGTTAGTGCGATGGTTGAACCGATTTAGCTTCTTATAGAACGGATAGAATTAACTTGACGCTTGAAAAAAAATTGTTAATTTAAAAAAGGCACAAAGTAAAAACGTATATTTTTTTCTTCATAACCGATTTTCCTGTGTATTGAGCCGGTTTGCTGGCAAGAAAAGGCATTTAGGTAAAGAACCTTAGTTTAGGAACATCATTCTTGAATCAACAAACGCACATAGAAAAAAGCAAATGGATGAATATTAGATTTACCCCATCTATTCCAATTAGTCTTAATGCATTTTAAACACAATACGGGTAAAAATCCTGCAACTTGGTTTATCTTCGAACTCATTTACTTTCCCTAACCAAACAAACATTTTACCCGTAATTTTCCGCTTGTATTCATTGCAATTAGTCTATGAAAATGAGTCATGACTCTACTTTGTACCTTCCTCGGTGCCGGGGAGAATTTCTTCGGTAGCAGTGATCACTGAAGGAAACAAGACTAGGATTAACAAGATAGGAACAACTTTCATGTTACTCAGGTGCTTGTTTCCTCAAAAATATTCACAAATTTGTAATTTCACGGTTAAAAAAAGGACGCGACCTAGCCTTGAACTAATTCAGCTGTATTTGCCCGCTGGCGAATTGTTGAGGAATTAACCAATCAAATTTAGTGAAGTCAAACTGGTTTAAACAATAAAAATTTCGATCAATTTCTAAGAACATGCTTGCTTTTCAAAACCATATATCATGGCTACGTATTTTGCACTTAAAACACCCATACTGATGTATTGATATTTTCTGATGTCCACAGCTATAAGAGAGAAATTGTATTCAGAAAGTCATGTCTCTATCTCGGATCTTTGATTGCAGCTAACTAAATACCTTTTTGCTTTTAGCCTAAGCTTTTACCCGTGCCATCTGTATTTGTGGTCTTTCGAGCAACAAAATGCAATCATTATCTCGAAAGATTCCGTAAAAGAAACATGATTGAAGTTAAACATATCCTGCCCAATAGGGAGGCTTCATTTTCAAATGAAAATTTGCACGATGTCCTCTTCAACGAAATTAACGTTTTGGACAAATCAGATGACGCGGTTTTGTTCGATTGGTCGGCGAATGGATTTATTAAATCTTACACTTTTGATACCCGCATTTAAAGTCGATACCTGCCTATCAAGTTACGCTCAAGATGAAGTGGTTCCTTTTGCTCACGTTCGCTCTTCTGACCGTCGGCGTTTTAAGCGCTCCAGCAAACGACGAAGAAGATGGTAAGTTTTTCTTTGATTCACAAGTTGATATGTAGCATGCAAGATAATTTCTTTTTAAGATGTTAGCAGGTTTCTGCATTGCAACCCTCATTACTAAACCTTTTTTTGACAACCATTCCCAACAACAGATGCACTCACAAGGCTTTGATAATTTTTGTGACCGTGTTGCTACTAGATTTTTGGAACGCAAGAGAGGTTTATCATCCAGTTAATTTTTTTTCAATTAACTGGTTTTTATTGATTCTGAGATAAACAGATCCTCGGAATTCCACACCGTATGGTCAATTAAGACTCTGTTACAAATTCAAAAAAATATTCTAACAGTTGATCTGCTATTGATGAAGTAAGGTCCTCAAAGGCCGAAACTTTTATCCTTGATTTCCTGTAAATTCCGAAATAATTTGTCTTTCGTCCTGTTTGATAACCAGTTTTGTCGAGGCTGGGAATGAAGATCCAATCAACATATAAAGGAATGAATCGAAAAGATTACCGCCGGTTTAGTAACTAATGAAATGTATAAACAGGTGTCATCCAGGAGAAAAGGATTTACTAATGTGAGGCATGTGAAAACATACAACCTTAATGGCAAGGAAATGATTTTAATTCAGAATGACGGCCCACCTTTCATTCTAAGTAAACTCATTAGTCTGTTACATTTAAAATACATTGCTAGTTTGAATCGTTTCTTTGAGGCAAACGGTTCCGATCCTCAGAGAGTTGCTAAAATTTCAGTTCACCTTGACTGAATTGACAGCAGTGATTGATTAATTTTACAGAATTGGCAATGGTTTTTTTCTTTAAATATGACTGAACGCTGGACATTTATAAGCCGCTATGTAAGTGTTTCAGGGTAGACAAGTATATTTGAATTTCATCCGGCCTTGAAAGTCTAATGTAGTTTACCAAGGCAATCAATTTCCACCTTTGTTTAAAAGAAACTTTTTTTGCAATCGCAGAGTTATTGACGGAGGTAGCGGAAAAAGATGAAGCACTTGACGAACCTGAGACTGAGAAAGGTCAGTAATGATTATTATTTGATAACAGGGACAATATGAATGTAACGAGTATGATTTGTAACTAAAAAAAGTGATCTTGACCGAGATGTTCGAAGAATGATTTGCACTAAGATTTAAGTGCTATGGCATCGAACATTTTTTGTATGTGGTTAACCAAAGAGGAATTTTTAATCGAGTTTTAAAAGCTCGGCCTTGACTTCAAACTATGAGAGTGTGATACAACTAGTGTTAAGTTCTATTTCGGAAAAAAACCTCCACTGACTGCATAATAATTTTCTTTGCTGTAGTTATAATCTATGTAAGCTCAAGATCAACGTGCATTTTTGCGTTTCTTTTTCTCAAAAAGAAGAGGAGCGCTTTGTTCGAGAAGTAGGGGACGAAGAGGAAAACGAAGAGCTAGAAGAAGCAGTGATGCAAGACACCGTCGAAAATGACGAGGCTAATGGTAAAAGTGCTTCATTAATTGAGAGCGTCATGACAAATAATTTTCGTCGTGTTCTTAAAACACGGTAGCTGATATTTAACTCAGACGAGCATTGATGAATTTTAATAATTTTGATGATGATTCATACTAAAAGTCAAATGAAAGCATGAATATACACATGTCAGTGTTCAAAGTTTATCCCTTAATTAAGTATATTTTATCTTTTTCATGTAAGCTCCGTTTTGCGTCTTTTTGATGCTCAGTAGATGCTCTTTGATGCTCAGTAGTTCATTCATCAATTCATTTTGGAAAAAAAACATAAATATTGTTTGAATCAACTGTCTATTTACATTTTATGTTTTTTTCTTAGAAGTCCCCGGCGAAGCGAAGACCTCAGTCGAAACTGAACAGTCTTTTGAAGACAGCGAAGTAAACGATACCATTGAATAAAATGGGTCTATAAAAACAGGGCGAAAGAGGGAATTCTTTGTAGATTTTCGTTAACTTTGGAAGCATTTATTAAACTTAGGGGTACACAGGAAAATCTCTCCTTTGTTATCATTATTTACCATATCACACCCATGCAGCAAACATCTACTCCAATACACTTTCTTGGGTGTTTCCCTTATTTGACAGGCACAAAACAATCTTACAAACTTGTCATGTTATGTTAGACCTAGACCTAAATGAAAAGTTTCGATTATTACTATTTTTTTTTCGTAGAAGGTATACTTTTCGTCTCCTTATTCCCAGTTGGATATCTTTGGTGTCTCCAATTCACTAGCGAACCTTTCTGCTGCCGGTCGCAGCTCATAGTTGGCATTCTTTATGCTTCCTTTAAAGTATTCCTCTACGTTAATGGTCAAATGCAAATTTCAGAAGCACTCCGTGAATTGTAGTCATCCCAGCGGGACGTTCTTGCCCCTGGAAAGCTGTGTTGCGCATGTCCTGATGCCGTGTTACTGTTGCGCATCGTATGAGCTCGCTTATCATCCGATACGACCTCTGCGACACCACATCCCGATCGCCACGGACAAATAAAGTTCATAAAGTGTTTCCTGTAAGATGGATTGATTGCACAGTATATGAAGGGGTTGAGGGTGGAATTTCCCATGCACATAACTACTGTCACTTGGTGTGCAGCGGTATCCATCTGGGTAATGTCAAACTTGAACAACAAGTAATAAACTTGGTTAGGAAACCAACAAATTGCCAAAGCCACTGCAGTTATTGCGCACATACGCAGTAGACGTACACCAGCTTTACCTCTATTTGTTTGGAACAGAGCTGGTGAATCTCGAACTTTAACCCACAGACTCAGAAACGACAAACACGTGACAATGAGTGGCACGAAGAACTTTCCTAAGAACTCAATCAGCGCAACTCCTCTTCTAACGTCTCCCTTTGTCAGGGAAACCCATTCACAGTGATTTTCGGGCCCCAGTTTCATTTCGAAAAGGTGAGGGGCGTTAAAAAGAAACGATATGAACCATACAGTTGCCACTATTATATAGATTCTGTAACTTTTAAAACCTGCTCTGTACCGAGCAGGCTTTGCCACTGCAAACCATCTCTCAAGAGATAAACAGGTGATGGTATAGACAGAAACAATGCCAAGGGTAAACACGAGGTAGTATGACACGACTATTCGGCAAAACAGTTCACCAGCGAGGCCTCCTGGGATTGGAAAGTTGTTGATCCCTACGATATACGATGGAGTCAAAATCAGGCCTACTCCTGTGGAAACAAAACACCACATAGTTTTAGCTCTCATCGTCTAGGTATTGAGAGGGGTTTCATCCAACTTCGACTCTCTAGGGTGAGCTTTAAACAAATCAGTTTGTTAGCCCAGGTCTGAACACATTTGGACATCAACTGAAGGACACTTTTTGACACGGTGCTAAATCTAACAATAGAATCAATCAACGTGACTGCCCTGGAGAATCCTAAATAATACAAATGTGTTTGTATTACAATTTCAACCTCAAGCTGTGCTACAGATCATAAAGTATACCGCCAAATTAGGCAATGAAGCAAGAGGAAACCGTAAAAGGCTTTATTTTAAAGTTTCTCTAAACGGCAAGTTACTTGTGGACAGATAGACGAGCGAAAATGTAATAATCTCTTTATGAGACCTTATCACAATTCGAATCGAAACAGTCAACGAATCTTTCAAAATAAAGCTAATCTCGCCATAGTATTTAAAATATTAAAGAACCAGAAAGTTTGCTATGGCGAAAGGCACAGCCGGATACTTCCCTTTGAATTGTAACACCCAGTGAACTATTAAGACTTAATGCATTTGTTCACATCCAAGAAATTGTATTCGCTATTGTATTAACCTCTAATGAGCAAACAAGTGAAACTTATCTAGTGGCTAAATCAATCAAACCAATGAATTCAAAATATTCCAAACTTTTGTCGAACCACATACCTGTTGTCATATCAGTGATAGCCAAGCTTAAGATCAGTACATTGTATGAGCTTCGCAAAAGACTTCGGTTGCGGAGGAAAACCGCGATTAACAAGCCGTTGCTCAAAATAGAAAATACGGCAATGATTCCCATGGACACTCTTAACGCCATGTGTAGTTCACCTGAAAGTTCAGCCTCGTTTGTACCAGTGATGGTGTCGTTAACCATTTTGAAACAGCTTCGGGAAGCTGAAAAAATGACCAAGATTGTGATTAGCTAATCAGGTGGTCATGTAACTGATAAACTTGTCACAGCTTGTTTAACTTATCCAATTCGCTGACTGTAATTGTCGATAATTTTCGCTTGAAAATGAATTCATCGTGACACAAACTATGTATGCCTGTGACTTACGTGTGACTTATATTTTGAACTTTAACATAAACTTCATGGCTACTCAGGGTGTAAATAACATTCGGTTGAGGGAGAAACAAAACGAGGATTACGTATAAATGATGGTAGGACATGTGCGTGTTTCATTTTGAAATGAAGAAGTTCACTCGACTGAAGCTAATAACTGCAGAGATAAATCTACGATCGAAGGCTAAGACTAAATATCATCATGCTAAGTGGGTTAAGAAAAGCATAACTTGAGTAAATCACGAATTGTCTCAAACGAGCGACGTTCCACTGTAAATGGTAGTTGTTACAGAATACAACTGAATTATTTCTATTAGATAGTATAAAATTTATGATTTTGTTGGCGTGAACTTACCACGGAAAACGTGACTACAAGACTGTTTATGTCTGTAAAGCTCTTTTAGAGGGAAAACAAAAAATCAAGATTTTGTTTCTGTTTCTGTTCCCACTAGTCAAAACCAACTGCAGAATGGAATTGATATATGTTCCCGGGTTTCTCTTTGTGTTGGGTTGAAAACAATGAGAGCAGATTATTTTAAAAAAAATTCTAGTATTCCTTTTGAACCGTCGTAATAGAGCGATATCACAGGCGCACACCATATATAGTAAAGTGCCGGAACAGCGTTAATTCCGATGCCAACATTCATACATCAAAATTAGCGTGTTACGTAAATTAAATACGATACGTCGGTTCATTTCACTTTCCATCCTATATCTAAGGGGCAAGTATTTCAGCAAGGAGACCCATATTTGGATTATTCTCAGCTGTTAATCACGCAAAGCTACTTTATACACTTTTAGCCGAATAATAAGGTGTGAATATAATTCTACGGTTTACTTCCCAATTGTGGTTTATTCTAAAGGTGTTTTTTAGGGATTTTTTTGTGTTTTTTTCGGCAAAGCCCGACGGTCACCCAAGCAAAACGACGACGGCGATGTTTTTCCTCATTGATCTCCAGTCAGTGCGCATGCACCAGTTTATGGCATCACGGAACTAAGTCAATAGAGGTAGCCACTATTTGGATTTTACGTTTTTCCCTTTTAGTTAGTATTCTTTTATAAGCGCACAGTTTGATTGGTTTCTCTTAACAACGGAAACAATTGACCCATTTAAGTACAGCTTTACCATGAGCAATATTATTAATTTGCGATGTTAAGTAACAATCCACTATAAAGGGCCTGAAAAGTCTCGCCGTGTTCTTCTACCAAACGTTTCAGTTTTTTCTATGCAAGTTCTTAGTAGATATCAGTAACTGCTGCGCTTTAATTCTTGATGCTTTAACTCTAAAACAACGCGAATCTAGTAGCAACACCAATATCCTTTTGAACATAAAATATCTTAAAGTGAGATTTGACTAAGAGCTTTTAATAATATCTGCGTTTAATTGCTCGTCATAGCAACCTCACCGTGTCGTTGTTCCAACTTAATTCAATTAGGAAAACTATGGAATTGAGCCCCTTAGCCAAAGAACAAGGCTTAATTTAATTGAGCTAACGTTATCTTTGTAAGAACTGAAGGAATGTTATTTTTGGTAGAAGTATGAATTATGTGCGGTTATGTCACATTACTTACATAATGATGAAACAAATCACTTTTATTATGGTGTGCCAGCAAAGTAAGCTCGAGTATAATTTGAGTGATCAATAATATATTAGTTTGGCTTATTAACTGTAATGATTTACCAAGGCTTAGTGAGTAACATTAAAGCATTGAAGAAAGGACGAAGGGTAATATCTTACATTACTCAGCATATTATGAAGGGCATATATCCCCAGCATAATAGCTTAAGTTACAGCGAATAGAAACTTTATACCCTTCGACGAAGGGCTAACGCTCGAAACGTCAGCTTTTGTAATCGTTACGGTGGCCAACTTACCATTTCAACTTTGTTGATATATCTACATTATTAAGTTACAGCGATATTAATTGAGAAGGTTGGAAGGCATTTTTCTGTTCTTCAGATATTTTCCTTTGAGAAAAATAGTTATAATGTTATACTAGACAACGTAAACATTTGTTCGCTTGCTGAAGCCACCATAAATATCTTAATGGATATTAGTATGATCGATAAAACGTTGACCTAAAGACTGACTTATCGACTATTGTTCGAGTCGCATTCATACATCAAAATTGATTAGCTGACATATCTTTTAATAGAATTTTAACTCTCTGATACCTGGGGACAGGTTCTAAAACTGAATTATATTTCTCATAGCACTTTTCAGTTTTACAGATTTTTTTTTTCCAATCATGATCTATTTGCTACATGGCTATAATATCACGTTGTGCTATATTTTATCAGCCAAACTTGTTTTAACATCCATACTCCCAAGGATTAACATAACAGGTACTTAATATGGTACAGTACTCTAGTTTTGTTTCTATCTTGGAAATTAGAACAATTTGCGAGTAAAAGCAGTATTATTATGATAATTTACTGACTTCGGATGGACTTTCAAAAAGCCTTAGCAAATTCAACCGGTCAGATGATAGTGGTGGGAATATTTATTCTTTTCTAGCTGTTTTTCTTTTTAACCCATCTTTCAAGGTAAACCTGTTGTTCACGCGCTGAAATCGTAGTAAATGCGATACACCTTCACAGATATCGTTCCTACTAGCGATGGAATGGAAAACAGCCCTCTTTAGGAACCGTTTTCTCAGCGGCTGTTTGAATCCTATCATGTATTCTTAGTTGTTGACTTGAAGTAGCAGACCCAGGAATTTACCATAAGTTTAGCATGGCGAGAACTATGCTCAGGAAACCAGCAAATGGTTAGTAGAAAACTACAACGGCACTCGTGCATATGACTTTAATTACGTCGGGTGTTACGAACGATAAAATTTTGTCTCTTCAGTCTTCTAGCAAAAAGAAATCCAACCCGGGAAGCATGCTCCTCTGGACAATAATACATAGTGATTAATATAATGATAGTGATTGCGCAGTCCAGTTGTTGACGTGAACGCTCAAGTAAGCACATAGGAGTTCTAATTTATATCGGGTGCACATCAGTTTTAGTTGTGCAAAGTCCATGTGAACTGCTGGATTCGAGCAGTCGTATCAANCAGCTTTTTGTTCTCAGGCATATCCTTGAGCAATGAAATCGTAGTAAATGAAATCGTAGTAAATGAAATCGTAGTAAATGAAATCGTAGTAAATGAAATCGTAGTAAATGAAATCGTAGTAAATGAAATCGTAGTAAATGAAATCGTAGTAAATGAAATCGTAGTAAATGAAATCGTAGTAAATGCGATACACCTTCACAGATATCGTTCCTACTAGCGATGGAATGGAAAACAGCCCTCTTTAGGAACCGTTTTCTCAGCGGCTGTTTGAATCCTATCATGTATTCTTAGTTGTTGACTTGAAGTAGCAGACCCAGGAATTTACCATAAGTTTAGCATGGCGAGAACTATGCTCAGGAAACCAGCAAATGGTTAGTAGAAAACTACAACGGCACTCGTGCATATGACTTTAATTACGTCGGGTGTTACGAACGATAAAATTTTGTCTCTTCAGTCTTCTAGCAAAAAGAAATCCAACCCGGGAAGCATGCTCCTCTAGACAATAATACATAGTGATTAATATAATGATAGTGATTGCGCAGTCCAGTTGTTGACGTGAACGCTCAAGTAAGCACATAGGAGTTCTAATTTATATCGGGTGCACATCAGTTTTAGTTGTGCAAAGTCCATGTGAACTGCTGGATTCGAGCAGTCGTATCAATTTTTTAAATTATCATTATCTTTCTGTCATTAGTCATAGCCATGCACGAAAAAAAGAAAATAAAGCGACAACTTTGAGCTTGATCGCGAGACTTTGTCCGCTGCTTTGTCCATTGTATGTTTTATCGCTGATCAGGATGCTCGCGAAATATTTCACTAAACTCAAGACTGTCAACGAATGGGTAACAGCCAGACTTAATTTGAGGAGATAATATGATGACTGCAAGAACTGACGTTGTGGGAGTATAACAGCTCATAAAAAAAAATTCCAAAAAAGGCGAGAGTCCAACGATGCTGTAAAACATCTTAGGTTCTACATGTGACTCGTTTGGTTTGAGCTGTTTGATTTAAAGATTTCTGTCGGCCAGACTGTTTTGTGAAAGTTTGTGAAAGTTTGTCACATTCATCAGCGGGAGTCACAAAATCATTCCGTGCACCTAACTAAGAAATCAACATTAAGGTTTTGATATAAACACTGAAATAATATTTATAGACGTAAACCAGTTTGAATTGAAGTAAACTTATAATTTAGTCAGGAAACAAAAGCAATTTCGTCAGTTACGTCTTGAAGACTGATAAATGAGGAACTTGATGTTGGAAGCAGTTTACGTGGAAGCGATTAATCAAGTGTCCTTGCAACCTTAGCGTAGAGAGAAATCGTTGATCATTTTCATGCAGAAAGTAATTTTCCGAGAACCGACAGTTCAGTACGCAAGAAGTGCAATTGTCTTTGACATCAGGAAATACAAAGCCAGTCTCGTTAGGGTTTGCCAAAGCATTTAAGTAAATTCGTGATTACGACCTTTACGTCAGACAGACCCTTTTCATCAAAGTAAAGCCAGATTGATCGTATGTGTCGATGACAAACCTATATTTCAAAATTTCATAAACGATGAATTCATTATATGCCTGCTTCTCATAACCGTAATACTATTATGATATTACTCGAAAGAAACACACTGACTTGAAAAAAGAATAAAGTCCCTGGCACGTTCAACGAGACGATTATGGTTGATGTTTTACAAAATGTTTAAGTCGATAGCCTTAAAAAGCTCTGCTGAGTTAAGTGAAATTACTTATAATAATGGCAACAAATTAGTCATTCGCTGAAAGACCTCTTGTAAGACTTCTGAGTAGCATTGATGAATGTACTTTGTCACAGTGTTGCTATGAATTTATTACTGCAAACACTGCTGAGAATTATTATCTGGAGTCTTGCAGCTGCGGTTCACATCCGTGGTTAACATAATGAAACCCCAGCAAAACACCACCGTCAAAAATCTCCGCTTGATTAGTTCTGTTCCTCTCCTGCGACGGCAATCCTTCATGATCGTGAGTTAAAGTAAAACTTGGTTATTTTTTCCGAAGAAAACAATTAAAAAGAGGACACAATATGGACTCAAATCCTCTCCTATGTTCTTGATTGGTATAGCAATAGATTATTGGATTGGTTGATGAATTAAACATGGCTAAGACTATCGTAAAGTGGTGAAAAGGTGTCTCGAGCTTCACGAATTCAAACGTTGATAAAGCAAAGTAAAGCTGGTTTGGAAACCAACACAGAGTTAACAATAACGCTACTATGATACACATGCGTAGAAGCTTGAATCGAGTACGACTGACGCGTTTGTTGTGTCTTCCAGGAAAACTCCTTGACGACAGAGATATATGTAAGTACGTAACCCACGTGACAGCAGTTGGGATGAAAAATGTCACAACTGTGTATGTGACTACTAAGAATTTTTGGGGATGGTCTGTGCTAACCCAAATGCACCTGAGTTTGTCTTTGTCGAGAGTCATTCCAAATGGTAGAAAAACATGTGATAGCAGACAGATGAACCATATGATACAAAGGTAGATAAGGACTCGTCGTTTCTTAAATGCTAATTTGTATTTTATAGGTTTTACCACGGAGAACCACCTCTCTAAGGCGAGACTTGTAACTGAGAAAACAGAAACTTTGCCCAGGAGGAACACGAAATACTGGGAACCAATGATCTTGCAGAAGATCACACCCAACTTTGCAGGTGGTGCTGGGTACGAGTCGAGGGCGATCAGGTAATTCGGTGTAACCGCAAGAAATATTCCTATTAATATAAAATACAGGAAACTGCAGTTATACTTACAAAATTGACATTCTTTCATACTAACCCGTAAACACCGTAAAAGATAACATTCAAAACAAATGAATATATATGCACTTTAAACATTGATATGCTAAAATAAACTCAACGGAGAAATATTTTACTCGTGAAAAACAGAGCTGAGTTTTTTTCAAAAAGGGAAGGTGCTTTGAATATTTGACCTTCATTTGGGTAACGACAAACCTTCCTTCAGGCTCAAAGAAAAGTAGTAACGTGACGCAAAATCAATATTTCTGGATTTTTACACGTATATATGTAATCTGTTTTTTTAAGACAGTGTGTCTTGTTTTTATATAACCACATCGGTGGAATATAAACTCAGTAAATTACCTGTCAGCAAGTCAGTAACAGCAAGGCTGAATATAAGTAGGTTGTAGGCTGACTTGACAATCTTACCATTTTTCTTTATTACCACACATAGAAGAGCGTTACTTGCAAACGCCATGAGTGCGATTATTCCGAATGCTATCCGCAAAAGGAAGGAATAAGTCAGAGGCGAGGATGTAGAATTGTTGGTCGAATTATCAGATCTGTTGCTGTCTATCATCTAAAAAATAACAAGAAAACACCTGTAGGTCAATATCTTTAAAAATATGGCTTCTTCATTGCTCATGTTATGTTTTTAAAACACCATAACTTTTTTACATGTAGAAAGTGTTCTTTTAAAAAAACAAGTGCCGTAAATTGGCAGAAAATACGAAGTGACAGACCCCAAACCCATGATCTATAAATGAATTAGTAATACTTTTTGGAAAGTGTTTGACCAAGTTAGAGTAGCTTCTCAAGAAGCGTAATACCAGACTAACAAAGGGGGGCTTTGAAAGCTGTTCATTTGCGTTAAATTTTGAACTATTTACTCAAATAATCAGTAATTTCTAGCGTAACAAGTGATATCAAGTACAACTCATGCAGAGTCATTTGTCGTTCTTTTTTCCTTTATCTGGGAATCTCACCATCATACTGACATGGTGATGGTGTCCCAGCCAGTAATCTCTCTCTCTTTTTTTTAATTTCATTTTTACCTCTGCTGAACGCTTTTGATGTTCCTAGGAAAATGGAAGCTAAGTACCTCTCGCGGACTGAAGCTTCCCCAAGCGACTCTCTAGTTAAAGTGCACCTAAACCCAAAAATTTTTTTTCGCTTAACGAAATAAGCGTATTTTCTGGAGTATTTCTGT